AGAGAGAGAGAGAGAGAGAGAGAGAGAGAGAGAGAGAGAGAGAGAGAGAGAAAGAGAGAGAGAGAGAGAGAGAGAGAGAGAGAGAGAGAGAGGGGGGGGAAGATGGTTAGAAACGACAAAGAACTGAAAATACATAACCAATCTGTCAGGTGATTCACATAATTTCACTTATTCAGATCTCCCTTTCTCTCTCCCATTCTCTTTATCTCTTCTTGTTTGTTTGTTTGTCTGTCTGTCTGTCTGTCTGTCTGTCAGTCTGTTTGTCCAAACTTCGATCCGTCTGCTTTTGCTTAACAAACCAACATGTATAATGTATAATATCATTCACACAACCATTAACAATATCACATTGATGTTCAAATAAATAATTAACCTGAGTAGAGTCAAAACTGAAACAGAGAAGTCTATTCTTCAAAAACCTCCTCCTCCTCCATAGCATTCACCTCCTCCTCCTCCTCCTCCTCTCCCTCCTCAAAGAGGACTGGCATGGAGGAAGCTCTCGCTATGGGTTCAAACCCGTCATGAGATCTCCCTGCGCTGATGGTGAGTGTGAAACAGTGAGTCGAGTTCTCCGTTCTTCTTCCCACCTCTAGCTCATTCCCCGTACAAAGTCTTGACGTTTTCCCGGAATTTCTTGACGCTCTTCTGCTGGCAGCGTTTGAGATGGGGCTTTTGGAGCCGAGACAGTTGGTCGACCAGATGGGAGCCAGTTCAGAGGAGTTCAGCTTCGATGTTTTCTCCAGGGAAGGGGAGATGAAGTGATGAGGGGAGGGACAAGGGGATGAGTCCATCGTCTGTCCTTCCTCCTCTTCCATGATGACAGAGTTGACGTTTTCTAACGGTTTCCTGAGTCGTGGGGTTCTGACTAGCTCTGATGTCACTCCCGGTACCGCTGGGGTGAGCGCACGCACCCAGTCTTTGGCCGCCTCTGGGTTGCTCGCTTCGAACGTGAAGGATTTCCCCTCGGCGCTGTTGAGATAGACTGTGAACTGACAGGGGCGGGAGTCGGAGAGACAGGCCGAGCTTTTGCTCAGGTTCAGGTACAGCGGCTGTTCGGTCTGCCTGTTCTTCGTCTTCCTCACCACGGCGTAATGTTCGTACCTCTTCTTGTGCACCTGTACAATGACCGGGCACCGGAGTGGGTGGCGGGTGCTGACGTCATCAGAGCGAGGACAGCTTCTGGAGCGGGTGCGTTGAGTCCAGGTTGGGTGGAGCGGGGAGCTGATCATGACTAGATTGCCGGACTTGATCTCTGAGCACGTCCCGGCGAGACGTGAGTCTTCGGAGGCGGACGCCATGTCTGTGGAATACACGAAGGCTTTGGCGACGTCCGCACAGTCCTGTCTACGAGATTGTCTCAAGCTGTTCAGTTTGGTTCTCTTGCTGTGGGGCTCGGAGAACATAATATTAGATCTATTATTGTTTTCTTTGAGGAAAGAAGCGCACGAGTTTTTTGTGTGAATAAAGTCGTTGTGAGCACATTTCGCCAACAGGGTGTGGCTTGTCTGATTTGTGAGGGTAAAGTCGTTGTGCGCGTGAGTACACTCGCCTGGCATGGCGCGGTGTGTTTTTGTGTCTTCTGGGACGACGAGACAGGTTGTGAGCACACGGGGCAGACGCGAGCACAGCAGGTCGGACATCTGTGTGGTCAGTATCACGTCCATCTCCGAACACACGGGCCTCATCGGGTCTGGGAGTCGGAGCAGACGAGTGGAGAACTGTAACAGTAGCGATAGGGAGACCAAAGTCTTCCAAGCTCAAGTGTTTGTTACGATTGCCAGTTCATGGAGGCTTTATCTCAGTTGTGATTGTGAGAGAAGCCACACAGTTGGAGTAAGGCAAAGTAAGTCGTCAGAAGAAAATGTCCCAGTCAGAAACACAAAGACGGAATCTGCTTTTCTTCACAAGTCTTTTCCCTTCAGAATCTCGACGGGTAACTGAGTCAATCTGCTGAGCCGTCACGAAGATATAGCATCGAATGTAGGTCAAACATAAACAAACTTGTCCTAGATTTTACTGTTCAACTCAACTCGAGTCACTCACAAAGAATACTTGAAAACCGGACGCAGCGCGTACTTATTCTTCAGGGCGATAACAAACACAAAAAAGGTCGCGAGAGGGGAAATCCGCTTTGTTGCGTTGACTCAAGAGTTCAGGCGCCTGTCCTTGGCGAGGACATTACCCGATCTCCAGGATACAAAGCTTCTCCTGTTAACTCCTAGCGAAGTAAACACGTCTATCTCACTCGCGCGATGATGAGAAATGAGATCGATGTCAAGTTGTTGCGAAGTTTTGTGCGACTCCACCTACAGATAAAGAGCGACACACGACAATAAACAGCAGGAGTTTCCTCTCTGGTTAATCCTCCGCACGGACTAGATTGGGCTCTGTCGTTGTCGTGAATCACAACCGGGGATGAGACAGCAAGCGAGTGAACGAGCGAGAGAGAGAGAGAGGTGGGGACTCTTCGTCTGCCTGTGAACTGAGTGAAATGAAGCAAACCCCCAGGTAAGCTGGCTATATACAGGTCTACCAGCGCCGCGCGGGACATGACCAAGGTCTCGTCAGGTGATACGACACGCCAGTCCCCGACACACACACGAGACCAGAGACCAGACTTGATGGGCTGATGGCTCCTTCTGTATGCTCGCACAGTGAGATTGGGAGGACACGAAGCTTCGTCGACGCTTCGAAATGTGAAGTCATTATTCGTGCTGCTCGAATAGCTTGCGCGAAATTTTTGGTGATTTTATTTTTGTATAAAAAATACCCCCCCCCCCCCACACACACACCTTAACCCTCAATAACCTCATCTTGATAACAGCGTTAAAGAAATCATGACATTTGAACAGCAGTTTGAAATATATCACTTAGATAAAATTCAATCTTGTTTTTGAGAAGAAAATGAAATGGGTCTATACATTGTATTTTGTAGACATGAAGGTATAGTCTGACAAAAAACCCCATCGAATCAAGGTCAATCAAGGCGGAATATTTTCATGCATCATTATCTTAACTTAATTTCCCAAATACGTCACATCTTTTATCTTGAGGGTCAATAAGTCCATCTGCAAAATTCGCTAGTCAATATTCACTACCAACAGGGCAATAATATTATGTTCTTAATATTATCTCAATCTGCCTTGAAATAATCCCGTACAAAGTATTTCAGTATTTACCCCAATCATTATAGCGG